AGAGAGAGAGAGAGAGAGAGAGAGAGAGAGAGAGAGAGAGAGAGAGAACTGGGAATAGTATGGATGTATGAAACCTCACACAACCCAGCCAGAGTGACATATCTCCTCCAACAAGGCCACACCTCCTAATACTTCCCAAGCAGGTCCACCAACTGGGGACCAAATAGTCAAATATATAAGCCTATGGGAGCCGTTCTTGTTCAAACCGTCACATTGACTGTTACTAAATTACCTTGGGGGACATATAAACACCACATACCCCTTCCTTCTTTGTCCCAAGATAAACCAAAGTGCGATTCTACCAAAATTCAGGCTGAGGGGCTAAGGAGTTGATAAGGCTTACAGAGCAGTGAATGAGGAGTTAGGCCTGCATCCAGCATGGATGCTGCCTTCCCATGGCTGAGTAGATGGGGTCCTCTCCCTTCATCTTTCCCCAGCTATGTACTCCAGCCCCTCCCAGAGACCCAGAGGACACATGCAATCTGAGCAGAATCCACAGTCATCAAGCTATCTGCCCCAGATGGACACTCGGAGCTGTCAAAGTTTGCATAAGAGGACAGTCCTGTATAACACCCACACAGAGGCTGCTCATGGGATGCGGTCCATAACATCAGCGTTGCTATGGTGAGATGGGAGGGGTTTGAGGCCAGCTAATCTGGAACTTGTGGCAGCAGACACAAAGTGATCCTGTCTCAAACAAGAGAATAGTCAAAGACCCACACAGGAGATGGTTCTTGTACCTTGAGAGGCACAGGAGACGGTTCTTGTACCTTGAGAGGCACACCATGGCTCTCAGACACATGAATGTGCTCATACATACATGTGCATGGAAACACACACTCAGGTTTTTAAAAAGAAACTTAAGAGTCAAGGCAGTGTGTTCTCACTCTTTTGTCACTTCTACGTAGGAGCCTGAGATGGGAGGATTGAGAGTTCCAGGTCAACCTGGGCTACACTGTCTAAAACCAAACCAAAGTCCCAGGAATGGCTGTCCATCCTCAGCCTCCTTCTGGACCATCTTTGATGCCCACTGGTTCTGCCTTGAAGCACATTCTCATCATAGATGCTTCTTTCCACGTATGTCCTACCCCATACCCTCCCACCCTGAAAGTGTCCATCAAACTTGAAATAAAAATCCAAATTCCAGACCCTGAGCCACTCGGCCCTGCACACTTCTCAGGTGTCATGTTTTGACTGCAATCCATCCCAGCTTCCTGCTTCTCCCAGCACCTACCGCCACCAGATACCCTGCACTATGGTGCCTCTGTGTGGCTTCTCTCTGCTTCAAACAACTCCTCCTGTGGCTGCTT